TGTGTGTGTGTGTGTGTGTGTGTGTGTGTGTGTGTGTGTGTGTTTCTTTCATCTGCAGAAACAATTAATGCGTCCTGTGTAGTTTTGGTTTTAATCGTGTTATTTTGGTCTTTTGCACATGAAACACATGAACAACACATTTGAGTGGAGCCTATTACTGCACTGTTATAAATTCCAGCTTTGATATTTATTACCTGCTAAACAGGATGAAGCTGAAACAATGGAAGCCTGCAGTTTAATTAGTGGCATTATAAGCTGTAACGACTCATTCTTATGTCACAAACTCTTACGCATCAGTCAGCAGTTGAGTGTGAGATATCATATCAGCGAGCAGTGAGTTTCCTGCTGTTCGTTTTGAGTCGATCCCACAAACCTCCTGCCTTCATAAATAGCGATCACCTCGTCAGACTGACACCCATGTCAGCCCTCTGCTCCGAGGTCAGGCGTCGCCCGGCTGCGGTGACCTGGTGTTGCTTTCGAGAATAAGAATCAATTCGACACCACTGACATTTAAATATCATTTAACTGATGTGCAGAAAAGAGGAGCAAGACAGAGAGGTGCGACGGGAACCTTACTTGGCAGCTACGGGGTGAAATTTAGCGTCGCCCTCAGCAACCTGTATCGAACCACATTGCAGAAGAGCAGAAATAATTCTGGACATTAAAGCGTGGGTCTTTACAGACAGGCGAGCGGCTGTGATTAAAAGCAGCAAAGCTTTGGCTTTATCGTATTATCCCTGCCCTCCCCTTGTCCAGCCTCACCACGCTCCCTTTGTTCCAGCCGTCTTTTCATCTCCGTGCAGCTTTCAAGACATGCCAATTAACCTTTCAGTGCACTGGGTGGACATCTTGGTGTCTTTGTGGTGGCCTCCCCTTGGGCCTTTGTGCAGCCTTGTCGGCGGACAGGCACACGGGCTCCTGGCTTTGGCAGCCGGCACATTTCTGTCAGTCTCGCTGCCTCTGCGTCTTTAATGTTCAAGCACTCGACATTTTATCCTGTTTTGTTATTTGTGTGTGTGTGTGTGTGTGTGTGTGTGTGTGTGTGTGTGTGTGTGTGTGTGTGTGTGTGTGTGTGTGTGTGTGTGTGTGTGTGTGTGTGTGTGTGTGTGTCTCAACACTGACCTATTAACACATTAGCCAAGGGTTTTACTGATATCATTTAACGTTACAACACAAATAATGATTATTTTAGCTAAAAATAATATTTTACTCTAAAGAGTAAAGAGTCTCTTTTCAAGTGGGCTGTAAAGTATCCAGTGTGGGGCATGTATTTATTAATGTCATGGTAACAGCCAAATATCCAGGCGTCAGCCAAGCCTTTGGATGAACGTTTGAGAATAAATGATTAGTTTTCAGTAAACCTTGCAGGGCAATAAATCACAGGATCTTTTTGTGCGAGTGCACAGAAACAAGCAGTTAAGATTCAGGAAGCTCCACCGGAGGCCTGCTTGTCTGTCTGAGCTCTGCACATGAACACGTTTTTGTTTGTTTTTTTCTCCTACACTTTAAATGTTTTTTATATTTGTGTGTGTGTGTGTGGGGGGGGGGCACATAAAACTGGACGCGAAAAGCTCCTGTTTAAGAGGGGATGGGGAAATTCTCCTTTTTGTTTTGGAGTTCTGTGTTTGACCTGTTGCTGGGGGCAACTGTAAACACGGTTGCCATGGCGATGGCTGGAGAGGAAGCAAAAACATATCATGTGATTTGAGCCTACGCTGCTGTGTAACAAGATCCAGCAGCAAGTGCGTGTCCTGCCAGATAGAGAAAGCAGAGAATTTCACGGTGCAAATCAAACTTTTCAGTTCAGCAGAGGCTCGGCGTGGACAGTTTCAGATTGTCAGGTTGACCTTTTGCTTCAGGTGGAGTCCAGACTCTCACCTCCTCTGACCTGATGAACGGCCCCAAAAAATCTGCGCAGCGCTGGATTCGAGGGGGCGGGGGGTTATGTGCTGACTCTAGTTATAGAAGCGGCAAATCATTTTAGGTCTGAACCCTGCCACTGCTTCCTTTGTGCTCGAGTGTTCACTTGTATGCAGCATGCTCTCCTTTCAAAGGGGTTTCTGAACAGGAAAAAGGAAGTCACATGGGTTAGCGCAGGTCACTAAAAGTAGGCAGATGGAAGCATAAATCTATGTGAAATAAAATGCAAAAAGCATAAAACGACCCGTCCAGATGAAGCCCGAGCATGGCCTTTAAGGTTCTGCTGGTGATTAATGTGCAGGGAGCTGTGTTTGAGCTGGCTCATTGTCTAACCAGGAGGACCTGCAGCGAGAGAGAGGCAGCCCGCCTGGCTGTAGAAACTTTGTTGTGTGTCTGGTTGCCATGGTTCAGCTCTGTGTGTTTTGTCCCCTTCTTCCTCCCTCTCTTTTTCCCTCCTCTGTTCCCTCCCCCTCAATTCCCTCCCCTGCTTCCCCTCCTGCAGGCTACTTTGGATGTGGTGATGAACCTCCAGTTCCACTACATTGAGAAACTCTGGCAGACGTTTTGGTATTCAACACCGCCACCTAGTGATGGAAGCACTACCCTTCCCAGCAGGTCAGAAAGAAAACGTGGAAAAAGGCTTCAGTGTTTGACGCCAGGGCATTAAATGACCCTGTGATGTCATGTCTGTGATTACTGCTTTTTCACTTGAATTACGAGCAACAGTTTTGTTTGTGAGGCGGACGTTATTTTTAAAAGTGTGTGCGTGTGTGTGTGTGTGTAGTGATGATGAACCGGAAGGTGTGATTCCCACAGAGAAGCTGGTGGCTCTGTGTAAATATGAGCCTGTCAGGCTGTGGATGAGGAGCTGCGATCACATCCTCTACCAGGCCCTGGTGGAGATCCTGATCCCCGACGTGCTGCGACCTGTTCCCAGTCAGTACTGCTGAGGATTTCATTCAAATGATTTTTTTTTTTTTTTTTTTAAATTAAACAAGTAAAGCAATATATTGAGAGTTAAGACTGATGAGTGACAACAGGATGAATTTAGGACCAGGGGCTCGCTGTGTTGACGTACATGCTGACACATTAGAGGCATTTCTTTGTTTTCAGCGTACGGCGTTTACACTCTCGCTGAAAGGCTTTCTGCAGAGTGGGGACAGTAATGATAATCCAGGCTGCTCTCTTTCTTCAGGCACTCTCACTCAGGCCATCCGTAACTTTGCCAAGAGTCTGGAGGGCTGGCTGACTAATGCCATGACCAGCTTTCCACAAGAGATCATCCGCACTAAGGTATCAGCAGAAGTCTTTTTCGGATTGTGTGCATGCATGCAGATGATTTATGTGAGCTATAAAACCCAGCAGCTCTCTAAGTAGGCTTTTAAAATCATATTTCCACAAATGTTCAGCTGTGAACTTTTCAAACTCTCGTGTGATCAGTGTTTCATTCAACACTACAGTGATCTGTTTTTTATGAATGCACCTGCCCACAGTCTACTATCGTGCTTTATGTGTTATTACTGGCTGTGAAAGTCATGTACATCACTGTTCTTTATACACTGCTGCTAAATGTCCATCTGTGTATCACTGCAATGATATGACCTTAAAGGTTTACCCAAAAATTCTTTTCTGAAGATTTCTTCAGTGAATTATCAGAAAACTGTGGAATCTTGTTTATCCATCCATCCACTTATTGGACACTGGGTTGTGGGGGCAGCAGCCCTCCCTCTCCTCCACCTTATCTGGGGGTAACACAGAGGCTTTCCATATAATCTCTCCCATGTTTTCTGGGTCTACCCCGAGGCCCGAGGTATCACGTGGCGGAAACAGCTGCCCGAGCTGCCCATTAAGCATCCTCGTCAGATGCCCAAACCACCTCAGCTGTCTCCGTGTGATGTAGGTAACCAAGATGGCGAACGCAGCTACAGCCAGATTGGCGTCTCAGAGTAGGCTGTGTGATTAATTCTAAGTCGAATATATTTTGCCTGAAACAAAACACAAACGAACAAAAAGGAAAAAATGGCAAAGATGAGAAAAATTGAAGAAGATTTGGAGGAAATTAAGCTGTCGCTTAACAGACGTTGAAAGAATAGTTAAGCAACGAGGAATGTTAACGACTTTAATGCACCAAATCAAAGCATTAAAAAGCTTGATTAAGGAAAAGGATAAAACAATCCAGCTCTTAGAAAGGAGAGTGGAGGAACAGCATGCACGACTGGAGGACGTGATTATTACCGGTTTGGAAACCAAACACAGGAGCTATGCAAGAGTTACTGAGACTCAAACATTAGAGCGTCAGGTAGTGGAGTTTTTGCGAGTAAAAAAACTTCCCCTGCATAGCAACAACATCGCGGCGTGTTACACCCTCCCCAGAAAGAATGCCAGGACACCTCGAGCAATAGTAGTAAAATTTGTGAATCGAAAACACAAAATTGAGCTACTGAGGCAGTCCGGACAACTGAAAGGGAGTGGAGTATATGGGAAAGAACATCTCACAAAAAAGAACGCCGATATTGCCAGACAAGCCCGTGTCATGCGTAAAGAAAAGAAAATCCAAGCAACATGGATGAGAAATTGCAAAGTGATGATAAAGCTCAACGGAACACCAGAAGAAGCCAAGGTTGTAATGATCAGGGATCTTCATGATCAGAACAACTACGGGGGATGATTGCACTGCTGCGGTCGGACGGCAGAAGGTCTGTGATGTGTTTGCTGACAACTAGCCGAACTTATTCAATGAAAGATGCTATTTCCGACTGTCGGAGGGGGAAAATGGCAAAGTATGAGACAGTAGACTGGAAGAGTATTAGTGTGAAGCTGCAGGTGGATATGGAACTGGGCAGAGACGAGATATCGATCTGAGCCGCAGTTATTTATGGATCAGAAAGAACTGTATGAGTGGTTTTTCAAAATATGTGGTGAAATACTTGTACGGATGTTAATGAGTATTTCATAAGGATAACAGACATTTAAAGAATACTCAATCACAATGACTGAAGATTCAATACATTTTCATTAATTCATTTCACCTGTTGAAGCCTCTATAAAAGTTTTGTTCTGATCAATGATTTTTTGAATAATCTGAAAGGCAAGTTTAAAGAGACAGCACTGTCAGAAACATGGATGGATGAGGAAAGGCGTTGGGACTTTCACATTGATGGGTATGAATTATATTAAATAGATCTAATAAGAAGGCAGGAGGTGCGGCACTTTTTGTTGATAGTGATTTGAAATGTAAACGGGTTGAGTATATGTCTGTGGCTATTGCTGATTTAATGGAGTGTGTGACAGTAGAAATGGAAAGAAAGAGGAATCTAATTGTTACTTGTATGTATGGGAGGCCTGGGACACTGATGGAAACATTCACAGATGTAGTAGAAGATTTATTGAGCAAGGTAAAGGGAAATAAGACATTCTGTATTTGCGGTGATAATAATATAGATTTTTTTAAAAACGTCCAATCATAAGGCATCATCAGATTTCTTTGAGTTATTATTTGGAAGAGGGTTTTACCCTCTGATTACTAAACCTAGTGGAATAACTGAAAAGTCAGCCACATTTTCATGAATTGCTTGGAAAGTAACATTATAAGTGATCATTTACCTGTTTTTTGTTACTTTAGATTATAAAGTGACATGAAAGGAGGACGTGTGTGTGGACAGATATATAAGAATTAGAAATGATGATGCAATAAATGAGTTCAGGCAAGACCTTATGAAAGAAGATTGGAATGAGGATTATGTAAATGACGCCAATGCTGCATACGAGTCATTCTTAAATACTTATTTGGTTTTGTATGAAAATCACTGTCCACTGGTATTATCTAAGCAAAAGAAAACTACTGGTAAACCATGGATAACAAAAGGACTAGAAACTGCATGTACAAAGAAAAATAACCTGTATAGAGATTATATAAAACTTAGAATAAATCCTGCTGCAATATAAAGTTGATAAAAATAAGTTAGTATTAATTATGAGAAAGGCTAAGAAAGAGTATTATAATAAATTATTTTACAAAACCAAAAATAAGATTAAGGGTACATGGAATATCTTAAAAAAACTTATTGGGTAATAAATATACATCTTTAAATGTACCTACTTACTTTAATAAGAAAAATAAGGTCGCACGTGATATGAATGAAGTGGTGAATGAATTTAATTCTTTTTTTGTAAATATTGGGCCTAACCTGGCAAACTTAGTTAGAAAACAGGATGATTCAGAATGGAGAGGAGACAGCAGAGTGGTACAGTCTGTGTTTTTAGGGGAAATCACTGAAAAGGAAATCATAGCTATTGTAGCAGAATCTAAAAACGACATCCACTGACTGTGATGGGCGAGACGTGGTCATCTTAAAAAAGACCTTGGATTGTATAATCAAACCTCTCTGTTATATTTTTAATCTCATTTTATGCGGGTGTATTTCCTGACCGAATGAAAGTGGCAAAAGTTATAAATCAGGAGGCAGACAGTTTTAATAATTACAGACCAGTATCGTTGCTATCACAGTTTTCTAAAGTGCTTGAAAAACTCTTTGCACAAAGATTTGATAGTTTCATTGAAAAACATCAGCTGTTAAGTGAAAGTCAGTACGGCTTTCGACGGAACAGATCAACAGCAGAAGCATGAATGAAAACTATTGAGGACGTTTCATCAGCAGCACATCATAATAAATATACTGTAGGGGTCTTCATTGATTTAAAAAAAGCTTTTGACTCTGCAACACTCCATCTTGATTTCTAAGTTAAGAACTTATGATGTGAGAGGAATAGTGTTGATCTGGTTAAGCAGCTATTTAGATAATAGGTTTCAGTATGTGCAGTGTTTAGGCGACTCATCTGATGGAATGAAAAGAGACTGTGGGGTCCCTCAAGGTTCTGTTTTAGGACCAAAACCTTTTAATTTCTATATAAACAACATGTGTGATGTGTGATGTGTAGAGATGTTACACTTTGTTTTGTTCGCAGACGATACAAATTTCTATTGTTCTGGAGAAAACTTGAAAGAATTGGTTAAAATTATGGTTATTGAAATGAAAAAAATAAAACAATGATTTGGTGTAATGGTATTCGGAAACCGTGTAAAGGAGGAAGCGATGGTATTATCTATAGAGGGAGTGATAATTGAAAGAGTGACAGAAATCTGTTTTCTGGGTGTAATGGTGGACGAGTTACCATGGAAACCTCATATTGAACATGTTAAAGTTGGCTAAAAGTATTTATATCCTGGGTAATGTTAGATATATATATATTAGATTACAAGACAATGAGAATATTATATTTTTCATTGTTTCTACCTTATGTGAGTTATTGTGTTGAAGTATGGGGGATACATACGTGACTAATATGAAACCATTATATTTATTACAGAAGCTTCGAATGATGCATAATGTTAAATATGAAGAACACACTAATAGTTTGTTTATAAAATCCAAATGATTAAAATTACAGACATTAATTATTATGTTTAAGGCAAAAAATAAAACCTTAAGTTACAAAGTTTATTTGTATTGTGCGGCAGAAGGAAGTTTTATTTTGAGCATCGGTTTGTCGAACCACACAAAGGCAAATGTGTCCAACAGACACAGGCATAAGAACAAATGTTTCTCCATTTAAAATCTGCTATAAGGATAAAATGATAAAGCAATATGAAGAAGTTGAAAATAACAGAATTTAATTGTTGAAAAAATGATCCTTTTAGTTTGAGATTTCGTGGTGTTGCTCATTGTTGACTATATTGTTCTGTTTGCTTTGTTATGTGCAGAATATTGTCAGAGTGTAATTTTGGTTGCCTACTTGTATTGTCACAGACATCACAGGCAGGTGTCAGTAAGAATTTCTTCTTCCTGCTTCTTTTCATGCATGGAAACAGTGACTTTAACTGAAAGGAAGGTTGTGTATGGGAAATGAATTATTGCTGTACCATGTGTGAAATTAATAAATAAATGTTGAAGCATCACAGTCTGACGCTATGACATTGTGACATTTAAAATAGCCGTGCTTTTTGTTTTTGGTGCAGATTTTCAGCCTGAAAACAAACGGTTCATCTGTTCGGTCTCATTCCAGTCAGACGGGCTCACGGTGTATTTTCTGTGCGCAGGTGGCCGTGGTCAGCGCGTTTGCTCAGACTTTGAGACGATACACCAGTTTGAACCACTTGGCCCAGGCGGCGCGTGCCGTCCTCCAGAACACCTCCCAGATCAACCAGATGCTCTCCGACCTCAACAGGGTGGACTTTGCTAACGTCCAGGTGAGCGGAAAACCTCACATCGAAAAGACAAATATTTGCGTTGCACACGGGAAGTGAATGTGTCGACGCCGTGTTTGGGGTTTTCTTGCTGAATGTGGCGTGTTTGTTGTGTCTAACAGGAGCAGGCGTCGTGGGTGTGTCAGTGCGACGAAAGTGTGGTTCAGCGTCTGGAGCAGGACTTTAAGGTCACCCTGCAGCAGCAGAGCTCTCTGGACCAGTGGGCCACCTGGCTGGATAACGTGGTCTCTCAGGTTCTGAAGCCTCACCAGGGCAGCCCCAGTTTCCCCAAAGCTGCACGCCAGTTCCTGCTCAAATGGTCTTTCTACAGGTCGGTGTGGTTGACTCGTCTCCGTTCACACTTCCAGTATAAGCCGCCGACTGCGTGGTGCTTTTAGAAACGTTCTTTAGCTTGTAAAGCTCCCTGTAGCTCCTTGACGTGACATCTTTCCTTCTCTTGTAGCTCCATGGTGATCAGAGATCTGACTCTGCGCAGTGCAGCCAGCTTCGGCTCCTTCCACCTTATTCGCCTTCTTTACGACGAGTACATGTTTTACCTGGTGGAGCACCGCGTGGCTCAGGCCACTGGAGAAACTCCTATTGCTGTCATGGGAGAGGTGAGAGTGTTTAAAGAGCGAGGAAGGAATAGTTTAAGTTATGCAGCGACTGACAGTTTCTCATCTAAATTACAGTTCAGTGACCTGACCTCTATGATGCCTTCACTCATGGAAAAAGGTTCATCTTCATTTTTCATTTGATACAATTCAGTTTAAGTCCAGATGAACAGCATCAACCTTCTGGGTGCTGTTAGGAATGTATTTCACTGTATTCTAGTTTTACTGGTCACTGCTTTCACACTGACAGTCGCCGTGTGCGTCTCTGCAGATGCGTCTTTCTCAGATGAGATGAGTGATTTGGGCAGCGACGCCGATGCATCCAGAGGACCGACTGAACCGGCCGTGAAGAGAGAGAGGATCGAAATGAGCCACCCTCTGCAGGAGATGTGAGTCTGGTGTGAACGGGGTCAGACTGAGAGCCACACCGACCAGCATCTCACTCGTTTGTTTGTTCTTTTAGGCCTTTCGGGTCGCCGCTCTTGGCCCCTGGGCCGAGCATCCTCCTGCAGTCAGTGTGTGCAATGTACATAGACAAGAGTGTAGCAATGTCAGCTCTCCCCTCACTAGCATTTATAAATACGAGAAGCTCACGGGTTGTTTCTTTTTACGCCACTCTGCAACAGGTCTGAGCATCTTTGTTTTTGCTGCAACTGTCAATGAGTGTGTGCAGTACTTTTCCTTTTTTACTGGATGTGTGGTGTTGGTGATCCATCCTCCCTCTTTTTGTTTTTAAGACTAACTAGCTGTGCCATAGTGTCATTTGAGTGCCTTAGATTGCTAACTTTGAGATGTCTGTCCCTCAGCTGTGCCTCTACCGCAGTATGAATGTATCGTCTCCAAACCTCAAACATTCGAAGCACCTTTAACAGTGATTATGTGTAGGTGTGCTCTCCTCGTTGCCTCTGCTGCAGCTCGTAGCGAACGCTGGGCGGGCGGGGGGTAGTAACAAGAACATGCAACCTGTAGACCCAAAGGACCTTTCTCCTCAGTTGCTCCCACCGGCCGAGCCTCAGCTCCGGCTCCGTGTGTCAGGCAGGACCTTGTACTGTCGCAGTAGTCGGTAAGGCAGGAAGCTCCTGCTGTTAGCTTGGCTGTGTAACACGTTGACCCGTTTACCTCAGTAGATTTCTATGCTGTGCCTCATTTGGCTCATGCGATGAGGCAACTATTACAAAAATTAAAGTAAAAAATGAAAAGTAGCCACTGTTTCGTGTCCCTCACCCAGTTCTTTTATAAAATGTAAATAGTTCTCCTCGTTCCTCCTCACGGTTTGAGTGTCGCGACGGCTCTGTGGCAGTTTACTCAGCTGCCACGCAGTCAGAACAAATCCACAGTAATCAGCTTTACGGAGACGGGACGTTAACCCCTGAACTGGAATCTGGACTCGCTCATTTCAAGACGAATCAAACGCCTCGAAACCAAAAACGATCTCGTGGGCGTCCCAGCCGACGCGCACTCCCCGAATCCTTTGACCTCACGCTGTCTTACGTTTTGTTTGAAATAGAAAAATCCAGTGCGTTATTTGGGGAATTAATCCATAAATTATATATATATATATATCTCTTTCTATGATGTAGACAGTGTGTGCTTCGTGGCCTTTGGTCTTTGCCTAATCTTTGTTCATGCTGTTACCTGGTTGGTCACATTGTATCAGAAAGAAATGCTTTGATGTGTAACGGATTAGACTGGCGTGTGTGATGAATCTGTATCCAATCTCAACTGTTCAATGTAATGAAATTTAATTATTACTGCAGCGCTGAAGCTCTCAGTAAGCTATTAAACTGACGTAAGGAAAAAACTATAAAATCTATTTATATGGACTAATCTGATTTAATGGAGTTTTGTGTTGAAATTGGTTCGTTTTTTTTTTTTTCCCTCCTCCTCGTTTCCCTCACAGAGGATTTTGTTGTAGCAATGGGAATCTTTGAATTTGAGTTTAAGGCTTTTTGTAACTTGTGCCTGTCACAGTAATTTGCCTTAAAGTGCTTTGGGAAGAATAATTTCTATGTGTACTTTGTAATGTTTTGTAAGGCTGTTTTAGATTTTTTGACGGAGGATTATTTTTTATTGAACTAGGTTCTTACAAGTATACTGAACCCTTATTTTTGTGTATTTTTAAACCTGTTCTTGACTACACTTTAACTAGCTTAAGGACAGATGGCGGTCTGTAATAAACTGCATAGTTCAGCTGTATTTTGTACCTGGTCACAGTGTAATAAATTGATGTAAACCAAAAAACAAAACGTTCCAGCACTTCTTTTATTTTTATCAAATCTCATCACAAACAAGTTTTTTTGAAAGGTTTTGTACAAGATGTTTGCTCATAACTGACTCGATGCTGTAGAGATTTCATGGACAGTAAAGTTTTATTTTATTCACACTTTTTTCTAATTCAAGAAAAGTCATCAACAGCAGTCTGCAGTCTTTTGACACAAAGGCGTACAGAACAACACAGACACAGATTTAATAGGAAAAAAGTTTTCTTCCTGGACGAGGAGGACAGCTGAACGTACGACGGCACACGGGATAAATTAGAGAAAAGAATTGGTCCGAGAGCAGCAGGACACTGACGGGAGGAAGCGAGTTCCTCGACTCAGGCGCTGAAAGTTCTCTGAACCTTCAGCGATCCCCGTTCAGAAATCTGACAGTCCTTTAGTTTGATTCACAAGGAGCAGCCCGCCATGTACTTCCCTGTCAGAGACATGAACATAAATGAATAATCAGAAGGCAGAAAGGGAGCCACACATGCAAAATGTTTAGATTAAGAAATCAAACTATTGAGGGGAAAAAAAAGAGAATAGCTCCTATTTTGTTATGTTAACCATAAACACACAAAGTGGACTCGAACTGGAGCTTCTCTCTGATATCACTCTCTCATTCAAGTATGGAGCTGGAGCCAGAAATCACCCGGCTTAGCACCACGTGTTAGCCTAACTCTAGAGATTGCTAAAAATGATGTTATCAGTATAAAGACCAAGTGTAAAAGCGTACAGCTGCTGTTGGCAGCCATCGTGCTAGTATGAGAACGGCGTTAGAAAGGAAATGCTTAACTGTCCTGCACCTGTATATCATCGGCCACAAAATAATATCAAAATGACAGGAATACTAATACTCGCATTATTTCCATTACAGATAAAAAGAAAATCTTAATAAGTTGAATGGTTCTCAGGTCAGTGCTGGGGGCTTTAAACACAAAGACATTCCTCTGAAAACAACTGGGGAGGACTGAAAGTGAAGGGGCTAAACAGCCACCGTCCATGGAGAACGGCTGCTCAAGGGCAGTTTAAAATAATTACAACAAAGTCTGTCTCCTTGAAGCAAAATATAAAGAAGAGTGCTTAACGACTAACACAGCACTGTAAAGTGTGTAAAATAAGATGAAATGCCACCACCTCCGGTTTTATTAGTAAAAAGAAACCTCGTGAGTGTGTTCAGAGTCACCTGTGGCGAATCTCTTCTTGACCAGCGACATGCGGTAGCGACTGCCCACCAACTCCACGTCCATGCCCGACAGCGAGGCCCCAGAGCCCACAAACTGAACCGCCAGGCTGGGTGGAGGGCCGCGAGGGACCTCCAGGCACTGCCAGCTGGCACACAGAGTCCCCGAGCCTGGAATCACATCAACACACGGCAGTGATAAAGAGCAGGAAAGACCTGACCCTTTGAAGTCGGTGACTCACAAGGTCCGTTTACCTCACTGAGACACACACACATTCTCGTTTTGCTATCTCAGTGAGGACATCTAATTGACATAATTCTTTCCCTGACCATGAAAAATGAAGTCGAACCATAACCATTTATTGGTCCTCACAAAGATGTCTGAACAGGACGCACACACACACACACGCTTTGAGTTCAGGTGAAGAGCAGAATCATTTTGTGGCATCTGTCAGATATAAAGTACAAAGAAGGGGCGGAGTTTCTTAAAACACGACACCTAAATGTTTACATTTGTTTTCCATGTAACAAAAGAAGCCACATTTATAAATGAAAAACGTGGTTTTACAAAGAAGAGTGAAAACACCAAAGAAGCCTGGAAGTTGAAAGTAACCATGGAGCTCCCGAGTTTTGCTGACATCTGCTCATATCCACATTCAGCCGCTCAGATGTCTGCTTCGTTTGTGCCGAGCCTCTGGAAACGGGGGGTCTGTTACCAGAGTTAACAAAGCTGCAAGTCTGCTCCTCAAGCACACACTGAAAGTTTGATTGTGATCGTCCGACAGAAGCAAATCTACCCTCGGCTCACCTGTTTGACTCGCAAACAAACGAATAAGCGAGAGTCGCAGAGGTGTGCGCGTTCACGTATGACGAAGCGTTCGAAGGCGTACAAGAAGAAATGCTAGAGCAACACCTTCTGTTTATAAGACAGTCGGTGAAGCTAACTGATGACAGACTGTCAGGCAGCATTTATGCAAAGCTGCACTTTTACAATTGAACTCGTAAAGAAACAAAAAGGATTCGAAGGAGCAGGAAGGAGTTAAAGCAGCCTTTCAGTGCTTTGTCACCACCTCGCACAACTTTAACTATCAATGCTTTGTCCTGTGAAGTTTCCTTATCGGTCTCTGTAAAGCCCTTTGCTTCACATAGAGGTAATAATATATGATTAGAAGAATAAGGTACGCGACACAGAGGAGAGCTGTGGGTGTCGGGTACAAAGACGCACACGGGTGAAGAAAACCTTCAGCTTAAATGACTTAAATGTTCGACTTTCCCAGCTGAAATTAGAGCCGCCTCTCATTGTGTACCATTAATGTCATGCAATCAGTCAGCTCAGTATTCAGAAGCAGCTTCGCTCTCATTTTGTTCATCTCCACCAGGCGGAGAAGCTGCCACGCACACCTCCGGGAGGAGGACACGCATGTTTGTGAAGTCACCGAGAGCAACGACCGTCAGTGATGCAGGGAGGAGAAAACGAATCTGTTAATGGTGTCGAGCATCAACTAATCGAGGTTTCTTGGTTCGATGGGGGTTAAAAACAGAGACGAAGGAAAAGTCAGAGCCCTGACCTTTGCTGTGGTTGGTCGGGGAAAGGTTGGGCAGTTTCCAGAGCAGCCGGCGTTCATCGGCGTTCCTGCGGAGGCAGAAAAAAGTCAGTGAGGCCAAAAACGCTCTGAACCTCCAACCTTTAAACATGTCTCGGGTTATCGACCTCAGCCAGCCTATTAAACATCTTTAGTACAGAAGACAACGACGATAACCGTTAATCTGGACGATGGATTTGGCGCCACCTGTGGCTGCAGGCTGTAAAAGCAAATGTGGTTTAATATCAAAGGTCACAGAAGTTAAACCAGCAGAGAAGTTGGCAGATGACTGCACTCTGACGCTTTTGAGCCACTTTATCAGATTTTCTGCTGCTGTCTGCAAACAGCCTGAACAGTGAGACTCTTGGTTATTTTACTGAGAGGATCTCAGCTGCATCTTCCCTGCAGTAGAGCCCTGCTGGCATTTTCTGAATGCCGAAGCTGAAAACGTCTCTCTGTGTATCCTGCCAGCTTTTGTTTAACCCCCCAGGTCAGGGGTCAGCAACCTTTAACAAACAAAGAGCCATTTGGATGCAATTTCCACACAAAAGAAAACACTGGGAGCCGCAAATGCTTTTTGACGTCTAAAATGAAGATAACACTGTACATATTGTTTTTTACTTTTATGCTTTGTGTGAACAACTAAGGCGTGTTGCTTAAATCCACGAAGTGCTACAGAGAAAATTACATTTTATTTATGTAATGAACACATTTTGAACTCTTAAAGAAATATAACCAAAGCAAAGACGCCCAGCTGAACTAAAATGATCCAGCAAACAGAAACTGTTGTGAGTCGCCCCCCTCATATCGCCTTTGGGCTTTTGGAGCCTTGACCTGACTTTTAAAAAAATAACTGGGGAAAAAAGCTCGAAGCTGCTGAAAGAGGAAAACTAGATATTTGCAAAATTCTGCCTAAATATGTATTTTACCTGGTTACTGTGTGTGGCGGGCGTGGTCTGCAGCGCCGTCACATTCGATACAAAAAGTGACTCAACATTAACAGGAAATATGGAGAGACTGGGTGCAAGCAAACTCCTAATGAAGCTCCGCCATTATTTCATTGGAGCGTAAGCCGGACGGCGTTAAACTGACCTCCTGCCACGCTGAAGCAGTGGGAACGTTTAAGATTCGGCATCAACTACAATCATTTTTAGTTAGATACCAACCAGCCTACTGTTACAAAACCTGAATGCAGAACTATGAAACCTTAAAGACGGAGTCGCGTTACAGGACATGATCGTGTTGAGGGCCTAAAACAGCAGCACAGCGATGAGATTAAAAACAAAATCCAGAGGATTTCAGGGCTTTTTATGAGTAAATGTGTAACTCAGGACATTTTATGCATCCAGAGTCCTCCAGACATTTCTGTTTTCCTTCTTGTAGGGAGATCCAGCAGTAGTAGTGAAGTCTGCTAACCATGCACATATCTTTACCCATGATGCATAGTTCCCATACATTTATTACTTATAGCAGCTCTCAGGAAGTGTATATGCAGCATGTTTTCACTGTCCTGTCTTCAAACAGTCACAGGGCTACAGTGTGACTGAGCATCACCAGCATCATCGTGTTGTTGGGCATCAGTGGTGCTGCAGGAGATCGCGAGCAGCAGCAAGTTCCCACAGGAACTCTGAGGACGTCTCCTGGGCTCCGACTCGCCTCTGCTTCCTCTGCAAATCGATGAGAAGCACGAGTCCCGCCTCTAATCACGTTCTCCTTCAGCCAGGGCATCACAGAGCGCGTCCTTCCTGGCTGCATCACCGCGTGCTACAGAGGCTTCACAACCTCCTTCTCAAAGACCCGTAAACGTAGAACCTCGCCGTCCTCCCTCGTGGACAACATTTTCAACGTCCGCCTCGCCCCCGCCACCCTTCATGCTCCATTTTTAGCCTCTGGCCTTTGGGGAGGTGGTACCGGAGCATTCGGGCAAGACTGCTGAACAGCTTCATCCACCAGACTGTCAGAAGACTGAGCTCTGTCCATTACCTCCCCCCCTCTGACTGTAGCACGCTCTCACACAGGTTACTGCTGCTTTACTGCAACCATGTGCACCTCTGTCATACCTGCTGCATCTCACAAGCTGCTCTATTTATGTCACTATTTGGATGTCAACGTTTCGCTCTTTCTTTGTCTCCCTTGGGAGAAATTTGCTTTGGACGGAGGGGTCACACCGCTCCCTATAATCACACCGACACTGTCGTTCTGTGGCCTTCATGAGGCGTTCTGGATGTTAAAGTAGAACAAAATTAGTATAAATTAAAATATGCCAAAGAAGTCACGTCTGCTCACCAGGAGGCGGGCGGCTGGCACTGCAGGTCTGTGGCAGTGTGGTCCAACGGCAGCAGCACCTGGACGGCAGTGAGTTGGGTGGAGGGCGCGGTGGCGGGGCAGCAGTGGTAATCCAGGGAGACCCTGGTCACCGTGCCGCTCCGCTGACACTCGGCTGAGAGCAAAAGAGGCGCCCGACCCGGGTCCTGAGAAGACACCTGAGAAAACGAGGCAAAGTTATTTTCTGGGTGTCACGGAGAAGCGGCATCCTCGGTTTCTATCCTGACCTGATACTTGAACAGCCCGACGTTGTAGTACGAAGCCTGCGGGTTGACTTCGGCCTCTCGCTGCAGGTGCAGCTGCAGAGCCTGCATATTGAACCAGAAGTCTCTGGCGTCGGGGTCGCTCTGAGACGGGTCGCTGAGGAGCATCGAAGACAGCGACGATAAAGACACGAGAGCTGAGACTAAGAAAGCAACAAAAAGATGGCTGACCTGTAGAGAAGCTTTTGATTGGGCAGAAAGTGATCGATCTTTGAGATGTTGACCAGTCTGAAGCTGAGCACGGGAACGTTGGGATTGGCAGTGAAAATACGAGTGATGCCTGCTGGGAAGGACATCGTGAGGTCACCTGTGATCTTCACCAGACAGCTGAGGACGGAAGACGAGGCAAGTTAATTAAAGTAAGCGCACCGTCTGCAGTTAGATAACAAAATGAAGAAATAAAGAGCGCCACGCTGACCGATTGTGCTGTCCACCTTTGAAGTAGGCGTTGATGTATTCAGTAATGGCTGCTGCTACTGGCCACGCCTCCTGTGTGCTGAGCGATATGGGACTGGGGCCTCTGGACAGATGCACTGTAGAGAAACATTGCTCACATCTCTCGCTGCGAGGTTTTAACTGACATTTTTAGACATGTGCCCGTGTGGCTTACACTGTCTCTGTTGGTGGTCCTGGTGCTGGAAGGGCAGCAGCGAGGCCTGTCCCACCCCGGCAGGGCTCTGAGCTCGGTTCTGACCCCCCCACTCACTGGGACTGGAAGAGGAGGAGGAGGTGAGGGAAGGGCTGGGCTCTGGCAGTGGAGAGGAACACAGGGACCGCGACTGAAACGCACAGCCGGGTCTGAGTTAGTGCTGCTAATGACAGTCTTGTTTCTGACATTGAACGGTTAAGCCGTGACCGATACTCACTCTCTCACAGCCACCGAGTCGACCCGAAGACCTCTTGGCTCGGGTCGCTCTCGCAGGAGCGGCCGTGACGCCTTCGGCTGTGTCCTGTCTGAAGTTATGTTTGGAGCCTTAAAAAAAGAAACACACACAAAGTGGATGAAAGCGGATCTAAAGGATGAGACACGCTCAAAACACCACGCTGACAAAATCTTATTTGCACTGCTTCAACAAAGACTTGCTGAACACGAGTTTGTGTTAAGACGAGCTGGAAAAGTGTTTGTTTCTCTCTGGGAGCTTTGTTTGTTTTGTAGCTCATGTGAGAAAAATTATTTTCACATTTGAATAAATTGCAATCGACTACAATCCCGACAAAAAATATAAGTCAGGGTGAAAAGTTCTAGCTTTGCATATCTTTGGTAAACGTTCACACAAAGCAACAACAAAACAGCAATTTAAAAACAAAACCACATGGCTGGAACCCTATGTTTCATACATAAGGCGCATTAAAG